CTCTCTCTCTCTCTCTCTCTCTCTCTCTCTCTCTCTCTCTTTCTCTTTCTCTCTCTCTTTCTCTTTCTCTCTCTCTCTCTCTCTCTCTCTCTCTTTCTCTTTCTCTCTCTCTCTCCCTCTGTGGCTCTCTCTCCCGCTCTCTTGCTCTCTTGTTGGTTGCATCCCCGCAGTTCTGTTGATTTGTGCCCTGTGCCGCGTGTTTGTGCAGACCTGGCTGCAAAGGTCATTGATCGCTTGAACCCTGCTGTCGAGACTCACCACATTGTCGCGCGCGTGGTCTGCGAACCGGTGTTTACGGCATGCATGGTGCATGTGCCCAGAAGCTTACCTTGCCACCGAGGCATGTGTTGGGGATTCTCTCACTGCCTGTGGCTATCCCAAGTTCTTACAGGCACTGGGGAACAATTGGGCATGATGAGTCTTTCCGTGATACATGACAATTTAAGCTACCCATGTCAACAAGCCGCTTGTCGAGGCCCGCTTCGACCGTGCAGGGATGAACGTGCAGGCAATCGTTTATGCAATACTCCCGTCGAGTCATGTGATGTTGGCTTCCGCCTCCTTCGTCGCCGGCCAGTAACAGTGCAATTTAGCGAATATATCCATAAGCGAATGCCTGTTTCTTCAGCAACGAGGATCAGGTTTTTGAGATTAGCCGGACACCTCGTCGTGAAGTGCTTGCACACTTTGTTGATACCGATTGATGCTGAAGGTGCGGAATTTTGGAGTTGCTGGTGCCACTGCGCAGAAGTTTGCCGACCAGCCGTACTGGGAGGATGTGTCAATCGCTCTCATCATCTCTCATCCACTCTTCGGAGAATCAGTGGTCAATGTCGACAGGAGCGGAAACTTGACGATGTGCGAGTGCCTGGAGCTCATGACGAGCGCTGTTCAGCCTCAGATATGATCTTGCATATGATCTCGCGTGCAGGTGGCGACCGCACTTTGTCGTATTGCTCTTCGGTACAAACGATGCAAAGTCAGGGAACTGGGAACCCGAGGCATTTGAGAAGGACTGGGATGTTCAACCCGTCATGTTTGGAAACTCCACTGCTAAATTCATGCGAACGAGTGCGAATCTGTCGAAGTTTTGGCTCCAGCTATTTGGGTCCAACCACGAGCCCAATGAGTGGTGAAGGCAGAGTATCTGTCTCTATTTTGCTTTTGTTTCGGATGGCTTTGCCAGGTGAGGCTGACGGCCTCCGAAAGCGGGGGGTGGCCGAGCCCTCCGGCGACCAGGTTCCGGTGTCTCAAAAGTTCCGGATTCCAGCCTCAGCCTCTTGGAATCTCAGGCACAGGCTACGGACGATGAGGTGGAGGCATTGCGCGCCAGCCTTGCTGCAAAGCGAGCTGAGCTGCGCCTCACCTCGGCGCCCATCACGACGGTTCCCGCTGCCTGTGGGGAGGGGGCCCCTACGTGTCGTGCTGCCGTGAAAACTTGTGGACTTACTCCATAGGCATGCGGATAGACCTCCTAATTCAAGCAACTTGCCAGGTGGTGCTGTTCACGATCAGCGCGATCGAGTACATCATCTATTGTCTTCGAGCAATCTTGACAAGCCTGATAACTTGGCTGCTGGGCGTGCCGCTGCCGCTTGGTGAAAGTTAGCGACATTCGGCATCTGAATTGAAATGGGTCACGGTCATCGCTTGCAAGATCTAAGGTTAGCAGGATACTTTTATTTGAAGCTGTCTTATGCACCAGAGCTCTTCGAGGCACCAGGGTCCGAACATGCCCGAATCTTCGCTTTCTCTCTGCGACAGGCACCGGTGTGTGGAGTGAAGACTGCGGCACCGCTGTGGCACCTGGAGCTAGCAGCCAAAGAGGCGACTGCAGAATGTTGAATGATTTTCCATTGAAGACTTGCAGCCTCCAGAAGTCGAGGAGGACTGTCCTGAACTGAAGAGGTTGCAAAGGAACCAGAGCCTGCTGCATTGGAGAAGCCAAAGTCAGAAGGGGTCAGGTTCTGTCAATCCACCTGGAACCCGCCTTTCCACAAGCGGCTGTTTACCCAACACTTTGCAGCGTATTACAGCGTGCAGAGCCCTGCACACGCCTGTGCGACAGGACAGCTGTTTCTTGCTGACCGTTTTGCTTGACAATCGTTGCATTTTCGTATTGGAAAACGTAAATACATAAACAGGTCTCTTGTCACTGCCGCAGCAGCTATGCCCACTACTTTTGGCTGTCGCAGCTTCTGCAGCGGTTGTTGTGGCTCCTATTGCTGGTGCTCTTATTCTTGCAATCGTGGTTGTTCGGTTCGAAGCGTGAACGAAGTGTCTGCATGAGACGGTTTCAGTAGTAGTTTTAACCAGGGAGCTGGGCTGGTGTGTGGGAGCCGGGTACGCTTGTCAGCACAATGTGGAATCTCGTGATTACTTGTCTTCGTCCCAGTCGTTTTTACACTGCTCAATCCAATCTTGTTAGGCTTTATTTCGAGTGTCCGGTCTGAATAGGCCTTAACAGGGGTTGCCTTTGGATATTCGAAGCCGCCTCCCCAGGCCATCGCACCTGCAGAGCCCAAAATCATGCCCTTCTCCACCGCGTCTGCTCTCGCCATTTGTTTGCTTGCACTGCCCTGTTGGTTGGGCTTCTGCGCTTCTCCACACGTTGTCCTTCTCTTCCCTGGCCTCTCGTCCTCTCGTTTCAACGCTCCGCCCCATCCCCCGCAAATGCCTTGGCTGCATAAGTTGACCAGTATTTGTTAACGGAAGGCCCACGCAAGTTCTTGAGTGCAGACTGTCAAGCTTCAAGCTTTATCAAGTTTGAGCAGTTCGGTGATGCGTCGGATGTAACGCGATGGGAAGAGATGCTGAAGCGAAGAGACGCTGAAGCAAAGGAGCAAGAACCTGAAAGTGGCAAGCATGGGCCAGCAAGGCATCGACACAAGATTCGTCGACAATCAAACTACAGCTTAAAAGAGTGCAAGGCAGAGAAATAGTGCAGGATTCAAAGTCGCGGGGAGTTAGGACGATTGGCACGCCAACGATGCCAGGGTAGGGGCAGCAGAAGCTTCGTATTGTCGCTGCAAGGCCGCGTGGTGGATCATTCTTGGTGTCTTGTCCTCCGTCTGCCTGCCTCGCTTGCGAACTGACCACGTGATTCAACACCACTCGCTGTGGCAGGTTGGTTTCGGAACGGGTCTGCACTCAGGCATGCAACAATGCAAATCTGCTCGATGCTGATGCCTACGCATGTTGATGAAGAAATGATATGTACAGTAGTGATTTCAATAGATGTGCAACCCGTCGCACACTGGCTTTTTTGCAGGCATGATGTTCCTCTTCCCCCACGTGCTGCAAGTTGTCAGCGCTGCAGAAAGCTGTCACACAACTAATGGAAGCTTGGCCTGCAGCTTTGGCTATTGTTTCGCTATTTCCGAGTTGATGCGTGTGTCCCTGCTTGTAGAAGTTGCATTGCATTGAGTGACCGAGGTCTTATAGCTTGGTACCAGCACCCTTGCAAGCTAGACTGCAGCACCACCACAGCTCCCTTCGACGATAGCACTGTGCCTTGTCAAGAAGCTTCCACGTGTGCTGAGCTGTATGAGCAGCGTCCCCGCTTTCGAGCAAAAGGGGGACATGGCATGATGCCCCGTTCTAGGTCTTGTGTGCGTGTGCGCCTTGTGTAGGTGACATTCTGGAACCTGTGGATGAAGGCAGATTTGCATGCTCTACACTCTACACTGTGTAATTGCGCTCACATTGACATGTTCCCTGCATGTGTGCTGGCATTGCTCCGTATCGCTACGAAACTCGAGCTCTGTCCTGGGCGCTCGAAGTTGAGCTTGTCTTGATCGGTCAGGTGACAGTTCCCTGCATGCTATGGGGGTTTGGAACCGCCGTTGGTGAGCTGCAACTTGGTGAGAAAAGTCTTCACTGCCCATGGCCGGTCGAGATCGTCCTTGAAGTCTCTGTGCGTTGTAGGGGTTCAGAGGCGCGTGTCGCCCTCGAACTTTTCCCTCGAACTTTCTGGTATGTCCGTTTGTCTTTTTTAATTGGATGCAAAGCTTGACAGTCTCAAGCGGGAGACGATGAGCATGCAGTGATTGAGCACGGTTTGCACAGCACCTCCCGTTCTGTCTGTTCATGATGGATCCTTTTCCGAGGCCCCCGTACCTTGTGTCCAAGGCTCTTCTGAACATATCTGTCGGACATGCTGTCATGTACGCACGACACATTTTACCCGCTCCTTTTTGCAGGCAGCTCGGTTGTCTGGATCCACCGACGAGGAGTTCGCAAAGGAAATGGAGGCACAGAGATGTGTGCCCAGAAGAAACTCCCGACTGCAAGCGCTCCAAGTGGTATGGTCCTATTCAGTGAAGCGCATGAGGAGGCAAAGAGCAAGACTGACGTCTTCAATCGAATGAAGCTGTGGACCGTGGCTTGGCAAACTAGGATCGGGATCGAGTGCGATGCTGCTGTTGAGGCGCGAGTCGTCGTGATATCTGAGGTGAACTTCACGGAGAAACATGGCTTTCTTGGTATCTTCCTTCTAGCGCCCGGCTCTCAGTCCCACACTGCATGTGCACACATCAAGATCCATGCTTTGGCAGCAGCTTGCAGGTCCTGGCCCAATGCTGCCTTCGACATGTGCGGCGGCTTGTTCTGGAAATAGATCGCAGCTGCATGGTGGCAAGGGCAACTTCGACAAGATATGTGCACGACAACGTGGCTGAGGCATGTGCTGTGGCTACTTACTTATGCCCTTCTGGACCTTCTTCATCGCCACTGCACTAGGCAGCTCCAGCAATCAAGGCATGCGAGCATTGGGGTCCAGGCCATGCAAATGCATTGCATCCAGGCAAAGGCGTGGTGAAGGTCAACGGTCAAGCTGTTGTTTTCGTGAATCTCTTCGGTTCCGCTGCCTTCCAGGCAGGACCCTTGGTCAGCTCCAGACCTCCGTGCGTGCTTGCTGACATGCAGATATCTGCAAGGTAATGCTCAAAGGCTTCGACTACCTCAACGGTCTGGTGGAGGCGAGTTTTTGCTTTTATCTCTTTTTTTATTTCCGAGCAGCTCAAGATTCAACCTAGGCTGTCTCTGGCGAAAACTTCCAAATCAGCGTGAAGGATTCTTGCCGGTACTAATGTTTGGTCTGGGGGATGGCGGCTCGGAAGCTTCGAGGCCAGTAGCGCTTCAGAGAAGCCCTCCCTGGTCCCTGCCAAGGTAGCCGCACTGCGAGCAAAGCTCCTGGCCAAATTTAAGCAGCAGTCCAGTGACTCTCTTGCATGAAGGCAGTGCTGAAGGTTTTTCTGCTCAGCCCGAGACTCGTCCGAGATCAGTGACCAAGGATTTGCCCCGGAGCACTTGTTTAGCCGCGACGAGGACAAGAGACTCGTTTTGGAGGAAGTCCTGCACTTGCAACCTCGCTGGTATCTTCGACGGGTGGTGGGGGTCGTCTGCAGATGCCGAAAAGACCTTCCAACGTTTTCCCAGGTATCACACAGAGGACAAGGCCCACGAAATTGCAGACCGGGTTATGGAAGCGTGGGACAAGAACGGTGACAAGGCCGTCCGCATCAGACGAGCACGGATGCTAAGGAGTTCCGAGTTCCGCAGTTGACTTCGATGATATCGACCACTTCAGGCGCTTGAACTGTGTGAGATTGAGTTGGCCGCTTCTCGAACAGATACCGGGACTGCATGTTCAGCATGTCTTAGTAAGTGTTTCATTTGTGCTGTGGTTGTGGTGGTCCTGCCGCTGGTGGCTGCTGGCTGTTGTTGGGCCACTTGTGTTGTTTATCTTATACGGTTTGTTGTTAATGGTTGGTGCAAGCCACATGCAGGAGGCAGGCATGCAGTCCTGACACCGCCGTCCAACTCCCGCGCCCTTCGCATTCCTCGCGGCTGCAACATGCAAGGACGGGAAAGTGTCTTTGTCGTCGCTCGACCCTGGTGCCCCCACAAGCCACTCGGCCTTGGACATGCGATAAACGGAACAGCTCTCCGAGTACGTATGCATGTGGTGCAGAGTAGTCTGCAGATGTGAATACTTCTGCAGGCTTTCTGAAGGCACCTGAGCTGCATCGAAAGAATGGAAATAGCAGTTTCAGATTCAGATGTCTGCCATGATACCTTTACCGCAGAGCAAAACCAAGCACCGTGCTGCTCCATTGCTTTAGTAGCTAGGCTTGTAGGGTTCCGCGGTCGTGCCCCCTCAATCTGAACCTTCCACAGCTCAGGTGTGTTGGGAGCTTTTCATCGTGTGTCTCATATTGTACTTCGTGGCATGGGCCTCAGCCCTCTGCTTCTCAGGTGCCCGTGTTGCTGTCAACTACTGCTCATGTGGCATCGAAGTTGTCTATCCACTTGGCTTGCTCCGAGTCATTGATTTTCCGTCGCATACTCTCACACTGACGATTTTCACTTCAATCAGTTTTACTCTCCCCTCATGCTTTGGCCCGCTCACAGTCAGTGTGAGCCTTTCGACATCATCTTTTAACCCTTGTGGCATGCATAGGAAGCTCTAATGTGCCCGAGCCTCTAGTTTTACACCGCTTTTTGTGGCCTGGAATGGAAGGTTTCCATCATGAATCAGATGGCCCAATCCAAGCAAGCCGAGTATGACGAGGCCAAAGTCGAAGAGCCCGTCGCTTAGAGCTGGCACCTGGCTGCAGCACAGTGCCGGCGCTGTGCAGCCTTTGACACTGTTTGCAAAGGTTGCGGCGGAAGGGTGACAAAAAGAAGTGAGCAACAAATGAAGCGGCTGAGATGCTTGCAACTGCAAGCTTTGTTTTCAGCCCAAAGGAACTTCAACTGCAAGTGTGGCTTCACCTGGAAGTCGCAGGATGCGCTTAGCAAACCGTGCGTGCCTCCGCGCTGGTCAAGCGAAAGGAACAGTTTGCCCCGATCTTCTTGGGCTGGCGTCTGTGGTGCAGCCTGCTGCCGAGTGAAGCACCTCGCGAAACCTTAAGGAACAGAGAGAGGTTTGACGATTCAGCACCGCTTTCAGAGAGGTCTTTACTCCCCGAGGGCCGTGGGCAAAGCTTCCGCCGTGCTGGGGGGGGGCCAAAGCTGGCTTTTGCGACGGTTGCCTTTCGTAGCCGTAGGGTGGGCAGGTCGTATCGTCAGGTCTGGCCTTTTGGCCCTCCCTATCTCCAACTCATATGCCGTTCGTCAAAGATTGGCTGATGGCTAAGAGCCAGCAAGGCTGGTAGATGTTACAGTCGTTCCAGTCGAAACAGCTGTGGCTGGCGGTGTCTCGGGTGAAAAGCCAGGAGTGATAGTGCGATTTCGTGCATCGATGCAGACCAGGTGCTTTCTCTCAAACTTCCGTTCCTGAAGGACTACCGAGATCTCTGCCTACAGTTTATGGAGCGTCGAGACCTAGTCAAGGAGGCATCTGAATGTGGCTTGCAGTGTGCGAGACTGAGGCCTGGAGCCTAGGCCCGAAGCCGTGTTGGTGACGCCTCCACCGGCCTATTCGGAAGCCATGGACGTGCAGCAGGCAACAGAAAGTCTCCATTCAGAAACTCCGCAGGAATTGGTGTCTGTCGTTTGGCCAGGAGGTGGTGAATCGGAGCTTGCCGGATGCAGTTTGCCGAGTTGCGGAGGCAGCAGCACGCCGGGCATCTCAGGGAAAGAAGGAAACGCGAGAAGGCCAACCGTGGGAGCTGTGAGACTTCACAGAGAGCTGAGGTGCCATCAATGAGCCGTTGGAGAAGCAGGCCCTTTTTTTCAGGCTCTACTACGAGCATCTGCGAGCGCAAGGATCGGACCTGCGCAGGCGAAGCGGAGCCGTACCACTTTGCCAGCTGAGCTACTGGCTTCGGGCTTAGGCCTAGACTGTTCTGCGCATGGTGTGCAGATCTCATAAAAGGGCTTCGAGTTGCTTGGGGCTTAGGCACGTACATCCTTGGTGGAAGCTTTCGATCTTCTCGGAGGCCAGGGTAGGGATGGTTTTGTTCTGCTCGACCATCCTTGCCACGGGATGTCCCAACATCTGCATTGCAGTCACGTCCAAGACTCCGGGACAAAGCATGTTTCGGAGTCCCCCTGTGCGCAGGATCAAAGCTCAGCAGAAGAAAGTACTTTGCAGAAGATGGCATTCATCTGAACGAGAGAGGCATTCGACGGCCACTAATTTAATGCGGAAGTTGGACGGATTTGACCTTGTCTGGTTTCCACAACTGTCTAGGCACGAAGCTGCTGGCAGTGGCCGTCTTTGCAGAGCTTCGATCCAAGGCACCTTGAAGTCTAAGGAGAAGTGATATCTGAATTAACGCAAAGAGCTCTCGGATTTCTCACGAGCAGGTTGGAAAATATCTTCGTAAACGGGCCGATGAAGCTGCACGGGCAGTACCTGACAACCCGTTGGGTCTCTGACATCCGCCAGGCCATGTACATCGCACCAGTGTGTAGCCGAAAGGACGACTTCACGCTCACTGTGACTGCCGAGCTGTGTGGCCCAGGCTGAACGTCATCCTGAGCAGAAGTGCTTCGTGGCACTGCAAATGAACCCAAGCCCACGGATTTTGATTCTCCTTGGCCTCTGCAGTATCAACTCGAAGATGAAAGAGCCGTTAATCGTAGACCACAGTCGTTTCCGAGATAGGGAAACTTACCGTGGAGCTTGACATTCTGTGACCAGCCAAAGATAAAGCTGTGGTCCAACAGTGGCCTGTTCCAGCAAGGAAAAGCATCGTCTGTTGATTCCTCATGGTGGCATTGTGTGTACTATTCCTTGTGCATTGCATAATCGCATGTGATGTATTTTCAGCACAACAAGGTTGCCGGAGTCCGCCGGCCTAGCAATGGCAAACGGTTTACTGGCTTCAGGACACGACAGTCTCACCCAGAATTGAATCGTTCTATCCAGCCGCCTGTCCATTCTGTTCATGCCAACTCTCCGGTGCAATGCTGAAGATCTCGCCAGCGGCCGCCACTCCCCTAGCAACCAAACAAATCAGTGACACATGGGCCGTTTGAAAGTATCCATGGGGCCTGCGTTGGATAGCTGACGCTTCATGGGCTACGCACCCTTCGTGCCTCTGAGCGAAGATGCGATTTCTCTTCTTGTTACTGACTGCCGAAGTGCGAAGCTTAGGGAAAATTTAGGGTTTAACGATTGAATGCTGCAGGAGTTCACGCGTCTGGATTAAGAAGGCTTTTGTTGTTTGTGGACGGGCTGGGATGAGTGGTTGCGGAGTGCGCAGTTCTGATCCTGAGAAATTCAGGGATCAGCAGAAAGCAGCTTTTTGATCGTGTGCCCATGTCTGCCTCAGTTGATCTTCTTGTCCATCTGGCTTCCTGAGTGTCGTTTTGGTCGAGAGATGACCGGTTCATGAGCAGACCATTCGATCCCCCAAAAAATTTCACAGGATAAGATTTTATGGCCATTAGGTCCGCCTCGCAAGTTGCGCGTTGTCGTTGAGCGTCCTAAGCCGCCTTCACTCGTTTCATTCTTGAGGTTCAAACGGATGACATGTTTTCAATGCCCGATGCCCCCTTTGTCAACAACTCGAAGAATCCATCAAGTCCAAGGATTGTCATGTCTGAACGCCAAGAGAAGTGGACATGTTGCGTCAGAGGTACCGAGATATGGCTTCGAGGATGCGTACCCTCAGACATATGTGGAGGCCAGGCGATGACCCCCCGAGAAGGGAACGGAGCTTGCAAATGTCCAGGGCTCAGCCAAGGTTTCTCCGAGCGGTCCATGGTACTCCGAAGAGCAACCGGCAGTGTATTGGCAGCAGGACCCACCGAGCGAGTTTCTTTTTTGCATGCTCAGCGCAGAGTGTTCCATTTTCATCCTTGCGCCGCAGCCGCTAGGAGATGGCAGCAGCGCAGCGCCGCGAGGCTGCAGAGGCACGCCGTCCAGAAGAGGTGTATACGATTGTGTACGGCTCTGGGATGCCATGAGATCACCTTTCAGCTGAGCCGAAGAGGTGCGGTTGCTGGAGTCCGAGCTCCATGCGGCTCGCACGAGCCCGCTGGCCGCGCTGTCGTTTTAAAATTAGCGTGGCCGACCAAACTTGCTTGGTGATCCGTTGCATGTAGAGGGCATGTTGCAGCAACTGAACCCTCACTAAGGGCCACTCCGTGCTGACCCTTTGTCACACGTGGGTGGCGGTGGCGATGCTATTATTTGCGCATGCCAGGCAGCTTGGCTTCGTGGCCCGGTCACCTGCATCGAGCACGAGGCCGCCTCTGCGACAGCATTAAAGTGACTACCGGAGTCGTAATTGAGGAACATCCAATGCGCCAGGTCGTGCGGAGAAGATATGCGGCAAAGGTCTACCCTCCACATGCGAAAGCGAATGTTCAGTTTTCCTGACGAGTCGATGAAACCTTTTTTGGGGCTCTGTTTTTTTCTGGGTCAGAGCTTGCTCCGTAGCTTCAGCAGCACGAAGCATTTCCTCAACAATTGGACAGACACGTATCGCATTTCACATAGATCTTTGTTTGGAGCAAACTGAAAAGCTTGAATCGGACGTCTGTTCAGTAGAGAGCTGTGCACACGGTCTCTACACACGGCCTCTACGCTTGAAAGCTCGAGACATCACATAGTCGCACAAAGGTAAAGCAGAGTCTCACAGGAAAAGAGACTAAGAGCGTGGCCGCTGATGCTTCCTCTTTGCCACTGACGGTGGGCTTCGAGTCGCTAGTCCTCGTGCAGGACCTGTTCCGGTTGCTTTCTTTTGGACATGGCTCCAGGAGTGACCATTTCAACAGTGTTGATCAAACTTCGAGCCCTTATGTTAGCACATATCCGTGACACCATTTGTCAGGTCACCGCATCAGAAACCAGTTGGACGAGTACTACACTAATCGTACACTTCGTGCGCTCGGTCTGCCTGTTCTTGTGCTGCCGTGGCGCACCCACATGGGACATCCAGGACATGACGGCGGCCGAAAGGCAAAGGGATGAGGCGCATCCGAGCAATGCAGAAGTGGTCTCGGCCGTGCAGCATATGCTCTGTTGCTTCTTCACGAAGTCATGTTCTGCAGCTGAGCTGAGCCATGTGTCTAGATAGTAAAGGCTTGGTCCGGCAGCTGGCATCGAGTTCACCGTTACACTCTAGGGACTGTAGGTTCTTGTGCCCGGCAATGGGGTGGCACGTCCATATTCAGCTGGACCGTTTTGGCTAGGTTCGACAGGAGGTGGGGGGTTGTCGGGCTTCCTGCTCACCGGTTTCAGCGTCCCTCTTTTTCCTCCATATCTTCTGTACGGCGCGTTGACACTGGAACCTGTGTCATGCGCTGATGCGTCAACTACGTCACCATTTCTGACAGTTGGCATTTCATGTAAAGTGTCCAGCTGGCCAGGAGGGTTTGGTGGACGGAGAGGGAGAAGGACACGCCGAACTGTCCCAATGTGCAATGAGTGGCTAAGACACTTGAGGGCTCAAGTACTCCACGTTATGTGTGCCTTTTTCAGTTTCTCAGAGGCTTGCAGAGCTTTGCTGCTTGGCTGAGTCGTCAGAGGATGTTCACGGAGCTTCGCCGACATTCTAGGCGCGATTGCAAGATCCGACAAGCTCTGCTGATACTATCTGCTAGAAACTATACCTGCTACGCCTCACGTCACTGTGCACGCTGCATGTTGCATCGGCGACCCTTGATTCGTTGGGGTAGCCTGATGAACTTAGGGAGCATGATGGTGCACAGCGTCTGTTGGAGTCGGGCCGGAGATCTGGAAGCACATAGGATGTATGGAAGATTATGGAAGTTGAAGGACCGCTAAGACGTGAGTGGAACCTTCCATGGCCTGTTGGAAACTGGCATGCTTGTGCTTTTGGCCTGCGTGAGAAGGTTGTTCGGAAATCCCTGGGAGACGTGTCAAGGGGAGAACGCCACGCCTTTGTTTTGTGAAGATGGGCCGGCTGAAGGTTGGTGCAAGACCGCCCTTTGCAATCTGTAACCTGACCAATGCGCCAGCACATGCTCCCACCTGTGAACCCTCAGCATGCCTGCCCAAGTGCAAACCTGAGGCCGACAGCCTCCGGAAGCGGGTAGGCCCCACATGTGCCACCCGTTCGTTCCTGATGCTTGTCAAGGCCCGAACTGCGTCATCAAGCGCGTGGATAAGGATCAAAAGGCACGGTCCACAGGATATCGAACATGATTTGCGTTGGTTTGTGTCTCTGTCTCAATGGTTGCGGGCTGTTGGCGGCATAAGAAGGTTTGTTGTGTTGCCTGTACTTGCGATTGCGACGTTGGACTGGTGGTGGCGGGTGCTGGTTGTGGGTGGTAGTTCATCAGTTCAGTTTCTGCTCGTGGCCAGGGTTTTGTGGTCATCGTCCTGCACTGTGGCAGCGCAGGTCATGTTTGCGTTCGTGGGTCGAGTTATTGTCATCTTATCTTTAAGAGTTACTGCTTCCACAGTGTTGAAACAGTGACGACAGTTGTGTTGAGGGTGCTCTGAATATTCTCGGCCCAGGTCATCGGCCACGCCGAGCCCGACGAGATGCAGCAGGAGCTGGTCGCGAGTCTGAAGCCCGGGCAGCACAGAACGTGGAGGCAGTTGTCGGGCGGTTCCAGCGTCCCAGCACGTTGCCATGACTCAGGAGCAGCGACTCAGAAAAGGCTCGGGGCATGTGTGTAGCCTAGATTTGTTCATTGAGCACAGTTGTAGCGACCAACGCCCCCGAAATGTATGCCAAGAAGATGCCTAGGTGCAGAGCACGTCCACCATCTGCCCAGAAAGGAGCGGGAGATGGCGGGAGCACGCGGCGTTGGGCCGGATCAAGTCTCAGCTTTGACTTCAGCGGCTTTCCTCACGCAAAGGAGAAGCTGCAATGGGCTCTCGACCTCAAGGACCGAGCCAGATCGCTATAGACAAGTAGCAGATTAACGCAATGTGCTATCTCACGATGTCATGCTATGATGACCTTGAGCCGTCTCTTCAACCCGTTGGACAGCTTGCCTGCGCCATCTCTTTACATGCCTTGCCATGGGTTTGTCAGTCAGTGTAGCTGAGACAGGACCCGTTCGGAATTCTCGTTCGCACGATCAGCTTTTGGGATGCTCAGTTTAGCCTTGGCTAGATGTCTATGGACGGAAGGACAAGGCGAACGAGTGCTACGTGCAGAGCAGATTCGAGGAGGCACTAGCAAGGTGTAGGCAGTCAATTGTACATGTTCAGAACCTTCGATGGACCTGCCGCTTGCTCGCCACTTCGGCCGGATACCAGTAAGCTACAAGCTACTCCGGCTGTGCCTCTGTCTTTACGTTTTCACGACCGTGAAGCCTTAATTGCGACGTTATGTAGGGCCACACAAGAATCTCACCGAGTTTGTCTTTACTGGTTTTGTAGACCACATGAGGATCTTACTGACTTTTCGTCGTGCGGAAAGTGGACCGGAGAACAACCTCCCTCCGCCTGTGAGATCATTATGCGGACATTTCTTCATTTGCCGAGCTTGCTTCCTAACAGCATGGAGCCTTGGCAGAACCCCGAGAAGCATTCAAGAAGTGAAGGCTTTCGTAAACAGCCGCGTGAGGCAGCGCGCCTCTACAACGACTGCTTGGTGGCACTGGACTTCGATGGCAAGGAGGATGAGACTGCAGAGGAGAGAGCATCAGCAGCGAAGCCGTCAGCCTTGTCATCAAGAGCTCGTCAACTGGAGGTAGTGGCGAAACTGCAGCTACCCGTTTGCACAAACTTGGCCGCCTGCTTGATTGAGTGCTGGCCTCGAGCTTTGTAGGTGCAAACTGTCAGCAGGGCCGTCACTGCCATAGAACATCATAGAACTCTGAGGATGGGGAAGTACGAGGAATGCGTACGGGCGCCAGAAGGGATGCGGGATGCCTTTTCACACCACGACCCAGGGAAGCTTCTCAGAAGTTAGATGAGTTTGCTGACACATGCCAGATGCAGGATGACGCAGGATGCAATTCTTGTGTGCGCGAGTATCTTGGCTCATGAAATTGGCCAAGAAGGCTGCGAAGTGTAGCTCGGTAGTTCAGCCATGAACACGGACGAGGAGGCCTTACTGGGACGACAGAATGTGGTTTTCGCCAACAAGAGTGCGGGCAGCAGTTGTTGCTGCAAATGTTGCGGTTGCTGCTGCTGCTCGTTGTTGGGCCTCGCTCTTTGGGTTATTTTCTTTATGATGACGACGGAGTGTGGCACACGCGTCTCGCCGGTCGAACACATTCTCCCGGAAAATGCCCTTGCGGCCACGGCCCTACTGGCGACGCTGCCCGCCAGGGCACACCTTGAACTAGATGTCGTGTAAGGCAGTAAGGGTGAGTCCTCAGGGGCTGATCTTGACAAATTTCCCTTTAGGCCGGTCTCACGCCGCCCTTCGAGAGCGGGACTTTGGGCAACATGCCTCCAGGATGCGATAAGAGTGTGTGAAGAGCACAGCGGACTCAAACTGTTACTGGGCTTGAATTGCAGCTCCAGGTTCCTGGATCCTGCGCTGGAGCTGAACTTTACAGGCCTTGGTGGGCATTCTCCTCACGCTCAATTTCCACAGCGCTGTCGAATTCTCGTAGCCGTATCATCAGCCTTTTCTATCTGTGCTGTTCGTTGCAGGAATATGGTGGATGGATGGCAATCCATTGATATGGGAGTGGCTTGGGTGTTATCTTCAGTCAAGCCATGCCTGGAGGTAGTCTGAGCTAGCAATGACCATTTCCATTTTCTAACCATGCACCACCCCCTAGCACCCAAACCATAACAACCTGTACCTCAACTCCCATCTCACCAAAAATCCCCAAAATAATACCCACATGATGAAAACCATGCTATGGAACCACCCCGAACTGGCAACGATAGAGGCGGTGCTTATTTTACTGGTACTGAAAGAAACACTACGACAAAGTGGTCTTTGAATAACATCATTTTAGAGCAGAGTGTGTGAATCTCGATTCAACCGTGTCCAATAATATCACGAGTCACTTAGTACAAGGGGTAGTCTTAAAGTTGTTTATCCGATCTATCACACAATAACACAGTCAATTAACGTAGCTGGAACAGAAATTAATATGAATGTTGTAAAATCGGTCCTTCTATAGAACACAACGTGGAAATCATTTAACAAATGGAAAAAAAGACGGTTATTATCTTCCTGACAATTATATTCATAAACGATTTAACTATTTTTCTCATCCTATGGTCCTATGGTTAACTCAAGATTTAACGTAAAATTTAGCGACCGTGATCTTAATGCTACTGGTGCCAATGCTGGTTTCGGATTTGATGACAAGAATTATAACATAAGCTGGCAACTCCAGATAGCCAACAAAAAGTATCCTGAATTTGAATCGCAATCTCTCGCTGAACACATATCAATGCATTTCTTGCATCGTATGTTGAATTTTATGAACCCAGACCAAGATGCATGCAGCATTGCTTATGAACAACACGCAACAAATATATTTATCATTGGTATAACGATTGAAAGAATGAACGAGCAAAACCTAACTGGGATTAACACAAAGATGGGCTGTTTACTGACTGCTAAAATTAAGCCTTTTAAAACATTAACTGATAGTGAACTGATACAGAAAATATTTTTTCATCTCACCTCGGAAAATGTTATTGAAATCCGTAGCGATGGTGCTGTAGTCTATGA